AATTCTACTAACGACTGTGTTTTCTAATAAGTTTGCAAGTACTCGAGAACAATGGCTTTTTAAAAACGTTTACAATTTTCTAAAATTATAACACATTTAATTTGGTTTTAATGTGAGTTTTGTGCTTTATATTCCATTAGCAATAAATCCTTGTGACAGTCATCCTTGTCATAATGGTGGAACTTGTTTACCTACAACTAGAGGGAGGTTTAGATGTGACTGTCCTAGAGGTTTCAAGGGTAAAACATGTGATAAAGGTTTGTAATTATTATAATCATTGGAAATAACAAATAATTTTCTTCAAATCCCACTAGGAACTGTGTTTTTAATGATTTTGCAAAGAACTCAAGAACAATGGCTTTTTAAAAACGTTTACAATTTTCTAAAACTATAAGAGATTTACCTTCGTCTTAATGAGAGTTTTGTTCTTTATCTTCCATTAGAAATAAATCCTTGTGACAGTCATCCTTGTCATAATGGTGGAACTTGTTGTCCTACAACTGGAGGGAAGTTTAGCTGTGACTGTCCTAGAGGTTTCAAGGGTAAAACATGTGATATAGGTTTGTTATAATTATTATCATTGGAAATAACAAAAAACTTTCTTGAAATTCTACTAACGACTGTTTTCTAATAAGTTTGCAAGTACTCGAGAAAAATGGCTTTTTAAAAACCTTTACAATTTTCTAAAATTATAAGAGATTTAATTTGGTTTTAATGTGAGTTTTGCGCTTTATATTCCATTAGTAATAAATCCTTGTGACAGTAATCCTTGTCATAATGGTGGAACTTGTTATCCAACAACTGGAGGGAAGTTTAGATGTGACTGTCCTAGAGGTTTCAAGGGTAAAACATGTGATATAGGTTGGTAATTATTATAATCATTGGAAATAACAAATAATTTTCTTCAAATCCCACTAGGAACTGTATTTTTAATGATTTTGCAAAGAACTCAAGAACAATGGCTTTTTAAAAACGTTTACAATTTTCTAAAACTATAAGAGATTTACCTTCGTCTTAATGTGAGTTTCGTGCTTTATCTTCCATTAGAAATAAATCCTTGTGACAGTCATCCTTGTCATAATGGTGGAACTTGTTGTCCTACAACTGGAGGGAAGTTTAGCTGTGACTGTCCTAGAGGTTTCAAGGGTAAAACATGTGATATAGGTTTGTTATGATTATTATCATTGAAAATAACAAAAAACTTTCATGAAATTCTACTAACGACTGTGTTTTCTAATAAGTTTGCAAGTACTCGAGAACAATGGCTTTTTAGAAACGTTTACAATTTTCTAAAATTATAACACATTTAATTTGGTTTTAATGTGAGTTTTGTGCTTTATATTCCATTAGCAATAAATCCTTGTGACAGTCATCCTTGTCATAATGGTGGAACTTGTTTACCTACAACTAGAGGGAGGTTTAGATGTGACTGTCCTAGAGGTTTCAAGGGTAAAACATGTGATAAAGGTTTGTAATTATTATAATCATTGGAAATAACAAATAACTTTCTTGAAATTCTACTAACGACTGTGTTTTCTAA